GGCGTGCTGGGCACGAAGAGCGCCTTCCTCTGCGGCCTGGGCTGGAGCGGGCTGACCATGGTGCCGGCCTGGCAGCATGCCTACGAGCACCCGCACCGGCTCGCGCTGGCGCTCTTCTACGCCATGGACGCGCTGAGCATCTGCTTCAATTTGGCGACGATGGCGCTGTCGACGTGGTGCATGGTCAACGGGCCCATGCTCGCGATCCGCGGGCCGCTGCGTGGAGATCAAATATTCAACCCGACTTCAATGTGAGCGTATTCGACGGTTTCGACACGAGCTCTTCGTCTGTGCGTCGAGAACTCGATGAGAGCAATCGATCCGTCCAAAAATCAGCCGAATCGACTTTGATGTGACCGAGCTCGAGAATTTCAAAGTTTGGCCGGGACGTCCCAAACAAGTGGTTGAATTCCACACAGGCGGCCCGTCGGGGAGCATGGGCCGGGCCGTCGCGGGCATGTACGCGGAGCGCAAGTGGGCCCTGCGGAGCTTCTGGACGGGCAACCTGAGCATCCTCCTCGCGTCCGTGGCGCTGGGCTGGGTCAAGTTCGAGGTCGAGATCGCCGTCGCCATCACGGTCATCATCGCCTTCTTCGTCTTCCTGCTGGGCTACTACATCAAGCAGGTCACGCGGCCGCGCTTCCGCCTCCCGGCGAACACGGTGGGCAAGCGGCCCCAGACGCGGAATCCCGAGGAGGAGGCGGACCGCGCGCCCCGGGGCCTCATCGGGTCGGGCGACTTCGACGACCTCGAGCGCGCGGCGAGCCCGGCGAGGCCCCGGCTCGGCGCGAGGTAAGGGGCGCCGCCGGAGGAACGAGATTACGCGGGCGCGAACCGGTCGGGCAGGTGGTCCACCTGGACCGCGGCGGCCGCGGCGGCCGCGAGCGGCGCGTCGCCGCGGTACTCCGGCGGCCCGCCCGGCGCGAAGAGCGCGCAGGGCGCGTCCGGCGACGACGTGCCGAGCGCGAGGAGCGTCGCGAGGTCGTCGCGCGCGTCGCGGTCCGCGTCGAACCGGGCCTCCATTTCCGCGA